GCTTATGTAAACGCTAGAGATACAGATGGAAAAAACGTTAAAATACTTCTTAACAAATTCAAGAAGCTATATGGCATACCATTTTAAAACGTTTTTAAAACAGTATATATTTTTTATTTTTATAAAAATGCCCCTACATAGAATGGATAGAAAGTCTGCTAGAATAAAAGCAGAGTTGCAAAGATATGGTTGGAGAGTTTCGAAGAATTTTAAATATAGGAAGGGAAGACCCATAAAAGTCTATGACAAATTGTCTGGTCTTCGCTACGAAATGGACTTAGAAACAGCACGCGCAAACTATCCAAACAGATTAGAGAGGTTAGAAGAAGAACGTCTTATGGACATACCTTTCGATGTTAGTGAGCCTCAAGTTGAAGGACACGACGGCTTTGCCAGATTCTACTGGAAACATGACGAACAATTCCATCCTTTGAGAAGGAAAAAAGGTAGTGCAGAGGATGGTCATGCTCCCATGGAAAGAACAAGATATGCATATGAAAAGTATCGTGAAGTTCGTAGTAAAATTACATCTGGTCGAACCTTTACAGTAAACTTTGACGAAGGAAAGAACAAAGAAGGCTTCATGGGTGTACTTGCTGCCATACAAGACGGAAATAAGAAAGGATACAATCTCAGACTAACCGTAACAGATTTAGATGGCCATGTTTACTATGCACATGGCAATGTCACAACAGCCGCACAACTTCTTGACGCTTTCAAGACTACAAAGAGAGAACAAATGTTTGACTCCGACTCAGATATTTTGAATGCGATTGAAGGAATTGCAAGCGTGAAGTTCGAATGGTACCAACCTAACCCTCAAGCAGTCAGACAATATGCTTGTTAGATGAGAAATATGAAATGGCATACCATTTAAAACAAAATATTTTTTAAAAAAAACATTTTTTTATTTTATTTGAAATGTACGCTGAGTTTGTTGGAGAAGACCGTTGGGAAACTTGTTTGTTAGATGAAGAGTATGAAATTCACTGTTCTGAGCCTTTTGAAATAAGGAAGAAAGAAACCAAGAGAATTATACATGAATATAACAGAGGAACAGGTTATATTTGTGTAACATTAAACCTCAAAAAGTACCAAAAACATGTCGTCATTGCAACTCATTTTATACCGAACCCTAACAATTTACCGTGTGTGGACCATATAAACCATATAAGAAACGACAATAGACTTGAAAACTTGCGTTGGGTCACTCGTTCTGAAAACAATAAGAACATAAGCAAATTTGGAGATATTGTATTCGAATTTGTCGACGAACTAGAAGATGAAACAATTGAAATTAGAGACTATGGTAAGCATACGTTTGAGTTTTACTACTATAGCGAAGAACAAGACTCATTCTACTTTTATACCGGCGTAAACTATAGGAAATTACAAGTATATTTTACTAAGGCAGGCTATGCTTATGTAAACACTAGAGATACAGATGGAAAATACGTTCGAATACGTCTTAACAAATTCAAGAAGCTATATGGCATACCATTTTAAAACATTTTTAAAACAGTATATTTTTACATATATGAAATGCTTCAGGTTGAAAAACAAAGAACAAAAGTAGCAGATACAAAACCGTTAGACTATATCTTCACAAATGCTGGTAGGAATATTTCAGATGAAGATATTTCATCCGGGGCTTACAGGTTTGACTATCCAGTTCGTTGGCTTCAAAGTCCTTCAGATGCAAAGGCAATAGGATTTAGAAGAGTTTTGTTTTCAAATAGAACGAATGCCTTCATGTTCGCAGTATATTTTCATGGTCAGTATAAAGGTTCTGATGGTCTAATAGAAAAATTTGACGAAATGAAAATCTTTACAATTCGTTCAGACGAAAGTCTTGAAAAAACTCTAAATGACTTTCAAACTCAAATGAACAAATACTACTGGGAATTTCAAGAAAAATACCACTCTTTACTAAATGGAACATACTATCTGAAACTAGAATATAACAAGATGAACTCCACAGTTTCATTTCAAAAGATTGAAATTAACCCTCCAAGAGATACAGAGTTTTTATATTGGGGAGTAGACAAGCGTTCTTGGGCACAATTTCTTCGGTTACTAAACCAGAACGAACCATTACCACCAGATGGTCCATTTAATTTTATACTTCCACCAGCAGATTTGACAGTTTATAGAAACGTGTTTGACCCTCAAAATGTCATGTGTCATGCAAGTTTCAGTTCAAGCAACAACAGTTTTCTTTGTATCGGTAAGGACTTTTATGACTTTGCTTCTAAATTCTACGAACCACCTAGTAACAGTTTCTCTGACTTTCAAGTTTGGTTCACAACAAACGGTGTGCAGCATATTATTCCATTGTACTATGACTTTTATCTCGAATTGTCTTTCATATACAACTACGGAAAAGTGCTGAAAAAGTATTGAAAAATGAGTTTTGGTTAGATGTTTTTTTAGGTGTGCCTATGTGCCTATGTGCCTCGGTCAAATGAACTTCTCTTAAAATTACTGACAACATGACATTTTGACAACATCGTAGAAAACACGCAAAACTCTTGAATTTTGTATAAAAAAAGCAACCCGCTGTTTTCCGCGGGTTGGTATATTCTTCACAAAATGCTTGTTTTGAGGTCGAGCCATTTTTGGCCCCACCGTATTTTTCAACCAAAACTCTTGAATTCGCAAAAATATATTTTAGGTGGAACCAGGTCACCAGGTCACCAGGTCACCAGGTCAAATGAACTTCTCTGAAAAAATGAGACAACAAGACATTTTGACAACATCGTAGAAAACACACAAAACTCTTGAATTTTGTGCTGAATTCGGCAAAAATATATTTTAGGTAGATTTTTTTAGGTGTGCCTATGTGCCTATGTGCCTCGGTCAAATGAACTTCTCTTAAATTACTGACAACACGACATTTTGACAACAGTCCAGGAAATAAACTTCTTCTTCGTATATGTTTTGAAGAACTGAAGTGTGCCTATGTGCCCATGTGTGCCTATGTGCCTATGTGCCTCGGTCAAATGAACTTCTCTTAAAATTACTGACAACATGACATTTTGACAACATCGTAGAAAACACGCAAAACTCTTGAATTTTGTATAAAAAAAGCAACCCGCTGTTTTCCGCGGGTTGGTATATTCTTCACAAAATGCTTGTTTTGAGGTCGAGCCATTTTTGGCCCCACCGTATTTTTCAACCAAAACTCTTGAATTCGGCAAAAATATATTTTAGGTGGAACCAGGTCACCAGGTCACCAGGTCACCAGGTCAAATGAACTTCTCTGAAAAAATGAGACAACAAGACATTTTGACAACATCGTAGAAAACACACAAAACTCTTGAATTTGTGCTGAATTCGGCAAAAATATATTTTAGGGTAGATGTTTTTTTAGGTGTGCCTATGTGCCTATGTGCCTCGGTCAAATGAACTTCTCTTAAAATTACTGACAACACGACATTTTGACAACAGTCCAGGAAATAAACTTCTTCTTCGTATATGTTTTGAAGAACTGAAGTGTGCCTATGTGCCCATGTGTGCCTATGTGCCTATGTGCCTCGGTCAAATGAACTTCTCTTAAAATTACTGACAACATGACATTTTGACAACATCGTAGAAAACACGCAAAACTCTTGAATTTTGTATAAAAAAAGCAACCGCTGTTTTCCGCGGGTTGGTATATTCTTCACAAAATGCTTGTTTTGAGGTCGAGCCATTTTTGGCCCCACCGTATTTTTCAACCAAAACTCTTGAATTCGGCAAAAATATATTTTAGGTGGAACCAGGTCACCAGGTCACCAGGTCACCAGGTCAAATGAACTTCTCTGAAAAAATGAGACAACAAGACATTTTGACAACATCGTAGAAAACACACAAAACTCTTGAATTTTGTGCTGAATTCGGCAAAAATATATTTTAGGGTAGATGTTTTTTTAGGTGTGCCTATGTGCCTATGTGCCTCGGTCAAATGAACTTCTCTTAAAATTACTGACAACACGACATTTTGACAACAGTCCAGGAAATAAACTTCTTCTTCGTATATTTTTGAAGAACTGAAGTGTGCCTATGTGCCCATGTGTGCCTATGTGCCTATGTGCCTCGGTCAAATGAACTTCTCTTAAAATTACTGACAACATGACATTTTGACAACATCGTAGAAAACACGCAAAACTCTTGAATTTTGTATAAAAAAAGCAACCCGCTGTTTTCCGCGGGTTGGTATATTCTTCACAAAATGCTTGTTTTGAGGTCGAGCCATTTTTGGCCCCACCGTATTTTTCAACCAAAACTCTTGAATTCGGCAAAAATATATTTTAGGTGGAACCAGGTCACCAGGTCACCAGGTCACCAGGTCAAATGAACTTCTCTGAAAAAATGAGACAACAAGACATTTTGACAACATCGTAGAAAACACACAAAACTCTTGAATTTTGTGCTGAATTCGGCAAAAATATATTTTAGGGTAGATGTTTTTTTAGGTGTGCCTATGTGCCTATGTGCCTCGGTCAAATGAACTTCTCTTAAAATTACTGACAACACGACATTTTGACAACAGTCCAGGAAATAAACTTCTTCTTCGTATATGTTTTGAAGAACTGAAGTGTGCCTATGTGCCCATGTGTGCCTATGTGCCTATGTGCCTCGGTCAAATGAACTTCTCTTAAAATTACTGACAACATGACATTTTGACAACATCGTAGAAAACACGCAAAACTCTTGAATTTTGTATAAAAAAAGCAACCGCTGTTTTCCGCGGGTTGGTATATTCTTCACAAAATGCTTGTTTTGAGGTCGAACCACTTTTGACAACATCGTAGAAAACACGCAAAACTCTTGAATTTTGTATAAAAAAAGCAACCCGCTGTTTTCCGCGGGTTGGTATATTCTTCACAAAATGCTTGTTTTGAGGTCGAGCCATTTTTGGCTCCACCGTAGAAAACACACAAAACTCTTGAATTTTGTGCTGAAATAAAATAAAGGTAGTTTTTTTAAAAAATATTTTTTATTTTTATTGTAAGAACATGTTAGCAACAACAGCAACAAACTCTTTAGTCATGAACCCAACATCTATGTTAGTAGAGATGAAAAGCTTCATTCCTTCTTCATATACTTTCGAAACAACAATCCAGAAGATAAAGCAAGAACTTCTCCAAGGAGATTTAGACTGTAGTGCGAAAGATGAAACAAATGAACAATATCTTTATGAAATGCAGGATATTATTGACCATCTACCTAAACTTCCTGAAATACAACAACAAAAGCTCACTATTCCTGAATTCGATGAAATAGAAGTCAAAGCAACTGACTCAGTAGAAATAAAGAAGTTCATACGTAATGTAAACTATGAGTTTCTTGGATTTCATTGCAACCACAAAGACTGCGACATGGTATATTTCATGGACATATATAAATCTGAGGAGTTTAAGACCTACGACAACTTTGTTTCGTTAGTTGCTGAGTGTGTCTTGCAGATAAGAGGTGAGGATAGAAGAGGTAAAGTATGGAACGGACAAATAAAACCAGCAGCCTTTGAGTTAAAGAAAACCATTTACGCCTTGGTCATACTTGCAGGTAAGGTTTCAGAATATAACGCAAAAATGAACCCACAATGTTCAAAATGTAAAGCAGCAACAAGGAAATATAACTACTCCGTCAAAGAGATAGAACGTATGAGAAAAGACTATGCTGACTTAAAGAAAGAAGCAGAGAAACCAGTAGAGGATAAAATGGACATGTTGACATTTCTGAACAAAAACTATCCAACAGCTGACGATTTCCTTCTTTCAGATGTCAAGAAGAAATATAAAGAAACATTCGGCATTGTTAAAACTTTTGATGTACTGACAGAGGAAATCGAAGCCACAAAACTGTTTAGAATTTCAAATATACATCGTACATACCATGTAAAACGCTTGTGAAACTTTATGGTAGAAATATATTTTTGTCTGATTTACGCTCATTGACGATGAAATACAACAACAAAACATATACGATGAAATCTATTTCCTGTGTTGTTGTCAAAATGTCTTGTTGTCACCATTTTCAAAAAGATGTTAGTTGACCGAGGCACATGGGCACACTTCAGTTCTTCAAAACATTGACGATGAAATACAACAACAAAACATATACGAAGAAATCTATTTCCTGTGTTGTTGTCAAAATGTCGTGTTGTCAGTAATTTTAAGAGAAGTTCATTTGACCTGGTGACCTGGTGACCTGGTTCCACCTAAAAATGACGTTTACCATATACTACGCTTATGAAAATCGTGAAATTTTTACGAAGTGAACTTTAACACTTCGTCAAAAAAATAGCGTTTACCATATACTACGCTTATGAAAATCGTGAAATTTTTACGAAGTGAACTTTAACACTTCGTCAAAAAAATAGCGTTTACCATATACTACGCTTATGAAAATCGTGAAATTTTTACGAAGTGAACTTTAACACTTCGTCAAAAAAATAGCGTTTACCATATACTACGCTCATGAAAATCGTGAAAAATTGCGAGTAGGTGAAAAACCCTGGTCGCCAAAACTCTATGAAAATCGTAAAAAAACTCTATGAAATCATATCTTTTATACAAGATAGAAAAAATAAAATTAACGCTAGTTTTTTTAAAATATTTTTTTTTATTTTGTATGTAAGAACAGGAAATGACAAACATTGAGTTTGAAACAGTTAAAAAGATAGACAATGAGACCAAAGTGGTTAGAATTGGTGATTTAAACGTAAGATACTCAAAGAAATACAACAAATATTCTTTGTCAGACATTTTAACACTATCTGAAAAGAAAACATCCCACAACTGGGTTAGAAATGCTTCTACTCAGAAAATTTTGACAAAAAATCCTGAGCTTATGATATCGGTAAGATTCTATGGAACAAGAACATATCTTATAGACAAAAGTCTTATACCACTAGTTTTGTTCTGGATTGACCCAGTTGTTGGATATAATTTCATAACATATGGTTCATTCGATACGGAACGTTGCAGTGAAGGCTTACTTTACATCGTTCAGAAACCGAAGGACTTCAATACAAAGAGATATAAGATAGGAAGAACATTTAATATAACTCAAAGATATGACTCTACAGTCAATAGAGTTAAGGTTGCGTTTGTTAACGATATGAGAGCTGCAGAAACAGAACTACTTGAAAAGTTTGAGAAAATGTATGGTGCTCCCATGAAAGGTAAAGAAACGTTTGAAGTAGATGAGATAGCTAAAGCTATAAAATTATTTGACGAAGTTGCTGAAAAATACATGTAAAGCGTTTATTTTTGGTCTTTTATACAAGATAGAAAATAACGCTAATTTTTTATAAAATATTTTTTTTATTTTGTATGTAAAGACAGATATGTCAACATCAGAGAACACAACAACTGCTATCGTTCATGAAGCCATAAGTGAAGAATATGAGTGGGTTCAGTATAACAAACAGTTACGTCTCATTCGTTCGGTCAAAGATGACATGTACCAAATGCAAAGTATTTTGACAGCATGTTTTGCTCCAGATACTAAGCTTCCTAAAGACTGGTTTAGGAACCAAAGCACTATTGAACTATTGAGTGAAATTTCTCTAGACCGAGAATTCTCGGCCTTGCATAAAACACATGAAAATCGTGAAAATTTGCCAAATGGTTTGAGAGGCTGGTATGTACATAGACTTCTTGTAAATGCTGTTGCAATGTGGGCTTCACCTCGCTATGCATGGTATATTTACAGACTTCTTGACGAAATTCATAGACAAGAACGTGAAGAGCTAGAGAACAAGCTTGAAGCAAAAGACAAAAACATACAGAAAAGAATACCACGTTCGGTACCAAAAGGTAAGGAAAAGAACTATAAGTATATGATTTATACTGAAGAGATGGAAAATGAAGAAGACAGAGATATGGTTATGTTGCATTTAGTCAGAAGAAACAACAAAAGCTTTTACGACCTTGCTAAGATTTACAAATCTGACAGAAATTGGTTCTATCGCGAAAACTTACCGATTTCAATGACACCGAATGAAGATGTTAAACAGATAGTTCAAGATACGTTACCTCAAACACACTATGATATGAAAGGTTGTACAATACTTACCTTCAAAGAAGATTTACCGCTACTGAAAGAAAAAATAACAGAGTATTTTGACAACTTCAAACAAGCAGAGTAGATGAACCATTTATTTTTCAAGCTTGACACCAAAGATGGCTCAGGTAGCTCAATGAGGTAAATTGTCTTGTCCGAGTCCTTCTGGCATTCCGAGTCCTTCTGGCATTCCGAGTCCTTCCTTCCGACAGGAAAAGTTTTTCTTTCCAACAGGAAAAGTTTTTCCTTCCAACAGGAAAAGTTTTTCCTTCCAACAGGAAAAGTTTTTCCTTCCAACAGGAAAAGTTTTTCCTTCCAACAGGAAAAGTCCTTCCTTCCAACAGGAAAAATTTTTCTTTCCAACAGGAAAAGTTTTTCTTTCCGACAGGAAAAATTTTTCCAGTTGTCCGTCCGTAAACCATTCAAATTTTCGAAAATTGAGAACTTTTTGGCCGACCTTCAGGAAAAGTTTTTCCTTCCAACAGGAAAAGTTTTTCCTTCCAACAGGAAAAGTTTTTCCTTCCAACAGGAAAAGTTCTTCCTTCCGACAGGAAGAACTCTTCCTTCCGACAGGACACAAACGAATGTCCGACGTACCACCAACCGAGTCCATTCCAAAGCCAGAAGAACCGAAAGCTGCAGAACCACAACAGACTAAGACTCAAACACTTACATTTTTTACGCTTGACTTTTTACAATTTGAACTTTGTTCGCGTAGATATGAATTCTGAAAGAAGTATGAGGGTCTTGTATGACTTTGTACCTCTCCCATAGTTCATGTCTGTCAAACTTACCTGCCATGGACTCTTTCATAAGTTCCATGAAATCGTCTTCGGACAATCCGGGGAAAAGTACAATGTCAGTAAGTATTCTCTTTACATCCTTACTTAAACTCTTTGCTGTCTGTACACAAATGACAACAGAGATGTTAAAGTGTCTGAGCTTCTTAAGAATTCGACACATGTCTTGTTCTCTATTCTTTAACAAAGGATGAGAGGCGAAATCATCTAAGATAAGAAGACATCTGTGAGGGTACGTTTTCCAATCGTAAGATTGCAATTTCTTCGAAATGTATTCTATCTCTTTCTGTTTGTTTCTGAAGTGTTTCTTCTCTAATATTCTCTGCATTTCCTCATTTGGGTCTTTAAACTTCGAATTTATATACTCATTTATAGCATTGTACTTCAAAACCCTTCTTTGGTACTTCTTTATCCAATCTAACAACTCAGAGTCTTTTATACATACTAGTTTTGACTTCTTTATAATATCTTTGAACGAATTGACGGTTTGGTCAAATTGACCAGAAGTACTACAAATGACTACTAACTCATAGAATGGGTTCTTCTCATCTAGTTCTTGTTGTTGTGCAGCCATTTTAAGATAAGTGAAAGTCTTACCCGACCCAGGTGGTGCAATTAGACCTGTTATACCATTCTGAGCAAATAAGAACTTGTCATGTATGGGTTTTATCTGAGCATTTTCCAACTTCCTCTTGTTCTTGTTTAAAACATTCTCAAATTTCTTGTCAATGTCAGCAAACTTTTTTTCTAACATATTTTTAGAAAAATTAAAACTTTTATCTTTTAGAAAATGTCTAGCGATTTCGCCATCTATATTCGAGACAAGCTTTTCGACAGCAAAACATCTGTAGACCATAAAATCTTACATAGTGTAAACAAGAAAGGTGAATTTGTTCTAAAGTTCTGTTTCTGGGAATATGACAAGAACCATAAAACATTAAGCAGAGCAGTCTTAAAATTTGTCAATGACAGACTTGTTGACAGAGATGACGCCTCTTGGAGAGATGAAGTCCAACAAAACTTCTTAGAATGCAAAGAAGACACATGCGCTGTTCTTGAAGATGAAATAGAAAACAGAATAGAAGAGCTATTAAAGGACAAGAACTTTTACAAAAATATGGTTCGGAGAAATTTGACATAACTCCACCAGAAAAGAAGAAGAGAGAAAAGAAAGAAAAGAAAGTAGAAGAAGAGAAGAAGAACCTGAACCAGAGCCAGTTCCACCGAAGAAGAAATTTGACATGTAAAAATAAAATTTTATTTTTAGAACATTTCTGGGTCAATGTCAATGTTCTCTTCCTCTTTAGGAGCAAACACCGGCTTAGACTCTAAAATCTTTTTACCCAATTTACCTTGAACTTCAACTATCTTAGACTCATAATATTCATAGTCGTCTGCTTTCTTTGGTTCATAAGGTATAACAAGTTTGTATGCTTTGCCTTCTTTA